CCCTAAGGCCAATTCATAGCCAAAAACAAACAAAAGAGTGGAAATCATGGTAATCCAGATGACGTTGTTGGATAAACAAAAGAAAATTAAAATAAATGTCACTGTTGACACTGACATTGCTAGTATACTATCGCGTTATTTTTTTTAATATATTACGTGAGATCTGAGATTTTTATTTTTTTTAAAGTTGATCGTGGTAAATGAATCTTTCGTATATTTATTTTATATTAAATATATGTAAAATATAAAAATTAATATAAATAATTTTTATTGATTTAATATATTTTTATAGTCAAACCATGCATTGAGTTTGTTAAAAAAATTTTATATTTTTTATATTACTTTTGTGTCAAATTATTTTATTATATCTAAAATTATTTAGTGTTAAAGTTTTAATTTAATGATAAAAAGTAATTTTAAAATTTTAAATTCAAGTTTTATTTTACTTGTTTAATTATATTTTAATTTATTAATTAATTAATCAATTATAATATCTTAATTATGATATAATATTTAATTATTTAATTGATTATATAAATATAATACTTATTTATGATTATAGTTTTAAAAAATAATTATCAAATTTAATAATAAAAATATTTTTTAATTCTCATTAATAATTTTTTTATTTAAAATTTTTTAATATTCGATAATCACTTTAAACTCTGATTATTTTAAAGTCAAATCGAATCGAATATCATAAAAAAATAAACTCTCTTAGTACTTATTTTTTTCATTCATAATATTTGAAAATTGATACCTTACTTAAAAGAGAATTGAACTCATTATCATTAAGATCAACAAAAATTTATTTTTTTTTAGAATCCCTCAATATTCGGTATCATTTTAGGCCTAAACTATTTTGAAATTAAGTCGAATTAAACTTTATAAGAAGTCAAATTTTTTCATTGTTTATTTTTTTTTATTCACAAGACTCAAAATTAAAATTTTATTTTAAAAAATTAAATATTTTATCATTCAAATAGATGGTATTCTCATTAATATTTCTTACTTTATTAATTGATCCATTTTCTTTTCTTCAAACCAAATTGCTTAAATAAGAAAGGAAAAAGTTTATTTATTTTATTAATGTTACAATTTTAAGTAATCTCGATATTTTTTACTTGTTATGGAATCATATCATATCATTTTCGTGCATTAAAATCATACGCAAAAAAGTACATTTCAAACTCGAAGAAAAAAAAAATATTAATTAATGAAAAATACATACAAGTGATATGCCATCCACGTGAACGCATCACCTGTGAGAATATTAAAGTGAATTTTAATGAAACAACCACTTGCATATATAAAAATATATGAGAAATTTGGCTGTCGGCTCAAATTTGTTTATTCTCTAAAATTTGAATTTAAAATGATAGTTGGGAAAACCAAGATTATAGCAAATAAAAAGTTTAGGGCTCAATTAAATCATGAAAATACATCTAAAAATAAATAGATAAATCCTAGGCTTAGCGGAAAAGCCTTGATAAATTCCGTCTCAAATTTTTTATTTAATTTTTTTAGATATCTTAAAATGATTTTTTAACTATTTTATTTTTTATTTTAAAATTAAATTTTATAATTTTTTATTTTTTCCATTAACAATTATAAAATTTTAATTTTATAAAAAATTTAATTTTAATATTAAATATATTAAAGTAAAATTTTTTTAACTTTATAAAAATTAATAAAATTCAAAAAATTTAATACATTGAGAATACTTCAAAAAAAAAATCTCCGCAATATCTGCAGCTACACAGGAAAAAATCATCCTATCAACAAGAGGGCCCCGGGACCTGAACATTAACTGCATGTCACATGTGGGGTCGATGATGTTGCTCAATATCTGTGCCGTTTCTGACAATTCACCAACCACCACGAATCTTGCCAAATTTGGTAATTCATTAATTTTGTGAGTTTGTGATTATTTATTTCATAATAAATATAAAATTATCTTATCTTAATTTTTATTAATATATTTATTTTAAAATATATTTTTTAATTTAATCAAATTCATATATAATTTTTATTAAAATTTTAAATTATATTATTTTCAAATTTTTTATTTTATTTTTATAACATATTTTCTTGTCATACTTAAAATTATTAAGTATAATTTTCGTCATTTTTTAAGTTTTAAGTTTTATTTAAAGTTTTAACTTTTAAGTTTTATTTGAATAAATGATTGAATTAATTTTGATAAAATTAAAAATAATAGTAATAAAATTAATTTTACATGTTAATTTTTTTTTATCATTTTTATCAAATTTCATTCAAACATTGATTTCTATTTTTGTAAGTAATAATATAGTTAATATGCATATATATCTTTCTCTGCTTATTGCAAATTTAGAATGAAGTTAGTTGAAAAATTTTGTGCTTGAATTGTTTCTAACATTGGGTTTTGCTAGTGCTGGATTTTGTGGAAGTGTTAAAACAAAAAATATTAAAAAAAAAATTGTACTGGACACCCCAAACAAAAATCTCCAATTTGTTATTGGGTTTTGCAATTATATTTTTCTAAACTTCAAATCAATAAAAATATTCAATATTTTTTACAATTATTTATTTATAATATATACAAAAAATTATAAACATAACTTTGAAAATATCGAAGAGCAAGTGTAACTAATATATAAGTACTTTAAATGTGAAGAGCAATAAAGAGATGTTAAAACTTTAATTAAGCAAAACCTAAATGATTGCTAGAATTGAAATGAAATATACAGTAGGGAAACAAAATAATCATAAATTATTTGACAAAAATAACAAATCGATCATAAGAAAATATTAAATCTAATTTTTAATTAAATATTAAAATTTTATTTAAATGGATGATGAGATTAGTTGTGTTAAAATTAAAAACAGTAATAAAAATTATTATAATTATAATTAAAAAAATTTATTGTAATTGTAATTGAAAAAAAATTTAATAAAAAATTTATGTTGATTTGATTTCACTAAAATTAGTATTTAAATTTTAAAAATGTGATAAACCTAATTATATTATACAAAAAATACGATGGAATTCACACAAAATCTAAATCTAACCTTGAATTTTTATTTAGGGAAACGAAACTATTTGAATTGGGCGTAGAGGAGGCTAGAGACAGTCATATTGACAAGAAGAGACGAGAGTAAAAGTGGCTAGGGTTTTTTTTACGGAAATTAGAGGTTTTGTCATTTAGTTTTTTTTTTTAATTTTTTTATTTAGGTCTAGGGCACTACTTTTAATATAAGCATTACTACTTTTATTGAGTTTTATTTGTTATTAGAAATATATTTGTGTCTCATTACGAATCATAAGTTTAATTTGATAAATTTGATAGGTAAATAATGATATATTTAAAAAATAATAAGCGATATTTATTAAATTCAAACATAATTTATCACGATAATAAATGATATTTAATTTTTTTAAAATATTATCTATTATGATAATAAATTATATTTACTTCCACAAACATTATATATTATGATATCAGATAAAACAATCCTATAGATAACAGATCGTTTTTTTTTTTTTTTTTGTAAATCTAAATAGTTAAAAAATATATGAAATAAAAATTAGAAAAAATAATTAAAAAAAGGAAAAACTAAACGACAATATGATTGATATGGCTTTGCCTTTTAGCGATGAAAAAGAAGAGTTAAAAAAAAAAAAAGAAACAAAAGAGAAAAATGTAGTTAATAGAGAAAATATTTAAATTCACTCTATAGGTCAAAGAAAAATATAAAAAAAAAATTAATAATAGACTATGTTTATTAAACTCAGGTGTCATTTATTATGATAATAGATAATATTTATTTTTGTAAACGTCATCTATTATTTTTTAAAAAGAAATTTTTTATAATGTAAGAGTGTCCAATCAAAATTCTAGGACTGTTCAGAAAAATATTTAATAGGCATTCAAAAAGATAAACTTTCAAATTTTCTTATTTTTTATTTTTGGAGGATGTTTATGAACACCGCAAATTTGCCACTACTTCTAATGATAGTTGCAAAAATTTCACCAACTTTGGTGATTTTAAATACTTAATAATCTTGCTTCCCTTTATAATTCATATTTATATAATTTAAAATCTTCTCATTGGTTTTTTTTTTTTTTTTTTCATGTTGTTCAAGAATATGAGGGAAACTTTATCTGGAATGGGTATCCTTTCAACAATACTAATCAACGTCAGAACAAGCTTGAAAGTAGGGTTGTAGTAGATAATGTTTGTAGTAGTGTTTTTGTATTTTGTTAGTTTGATTGGAATTTTATTTTATTTTTTTATGTTTAGATTTAATTGGTACAAAATACTTGCATTTGAGAATTTTCAATTCCAATTTGAAATCAAATACCAATAATAAAATTTGATATTAAGTAAAACTCATTTTTTATTGATAAATAAATATAATCGAGTGAATTCAAATAATTAAAATTTTATTTTGAGTCGAACACCAATTAAATAAATAAAATTCAATCGCATTTAAATTGATATCTAATCACAAATTTAGAACCAAATTTTAACTTGATTCTTGTCGACTCAATTAAAACATGAAACGATCCAAACAGACAATAATCTTTTTATAGGTGAAAGTGTCATTAACGCTTTTGCCAACATTAAAGTGCCCCAAATTAATTGTGGTCCTAAAAGAGTAATTAAGTTTCAACTACTAGTACCAATTATCAATTATTCCACACAGCCATAATTTGGTGGTTGGCATCTACTCAAATTGCATATCTTATTTCTAATAGTTACATGCATTTTTTTCTTTGTCATCTTGCAAAAACATGTGCTCGTTTTTTTAATTTTAAATTGAGAGAAAAAAAATCCAAAGCATACTTCTGAAAAGAAAAATACATATACTTATCATTGAATCAAATATGAGAAAATCTATGTTTTGCACTAGGAATTTTTGCAGTAGGCATTTTGTACTGAAGAGCCTGTGTTGATAAATCAACAAAATTGATTGAATTGCATTTTCTTTTTATGCTTGATATGGGCAGAGACTTGGATCAGTAGCCATTGTTGGGATTAGTATCAATCAGGAAACAAAGTAGGGGAAGATTAAAATTCAGCTATAAGTTGAAATGAGAATAAGGTAGCAAGGATTTTATATGTTTTCACTCCTTAATTTTGATAGTAAACAAGGAACTCCTTTCTTCCCATTAGATGTCAGTTATTCCCTGACAAAAACATGAGTAAACAATAGAAACATAAGATCAGCTCCCTGATATTAATTCACTTCACCAGCTCTGAATTCCTTGACAGAAGCTTATGCTTAAACCATCTTCACAGAATCACACTCGGGAAATTGCAGTGTCCACGACCTGCTCAAAAGAATCAATAAAGATTAGAACTTCCATTTTTTTAATCTGTCATGTATCTTTCCTAATTGTTCAATTAAGAAAACTTGCCAACAGCTGTGTGATCTGTTGGTTAAAATCCCGGTAGCTTCAAGTACCAAAAGGAAAAAACTTACTTGGGTTCACTATGGTCTGTCTAGCTAATCCATTGAAGTAGCAAGTTGCCCCCCGGCTTCGAAACCTTGCCCAGTATGAGCTAAATGCATAACTAGCATGCCAAAATATTGATATTGGCTCATAACACTCTTTTCCTGGATTCAATGCTTCACAAGTCTGATTATCCAGGCTACAAGCATAGGCCAATGCAGATGACAAGTTCATCAGATTGACCCCTGGAGCCACCTCACACCAAACTTTCCCCTTATAAGGCACATTATTTTCAGCTGGAGGCAGTGGCTTGTAATCAGAGACAGGGCGCTTCCCAGTTAGATCGATGTCATAAATAGGTGTTCCATTTGCATGCAGCAAGCCCCAATGCCTTTCTGTTCCTGGTCCTGTCTTTCGGTTTTCTTCATATAGGGAGAAAATAAATGTTGGTATGATTAGACCAGGTCTAGCTGGGGTGCCTAATGCTGGTTTGGCAGTCATTTTTCGAATGAGATTTCGGTTATAAGTGGCTGCATTGTAGATATTTGCCCCCACTTGATCAATATCCCCAGCAGTAGGCCAGCCTGTTTCAGCTATCGCTAGTCGGATATTTGTGTACCCAAGCTTTTCCATGGCGAAAATGACGGAGTCAAGCATTTGGTCTAGGAGATTTGTGTAAACTAAGCCACTACCAAGGTCAGTTTGGTTTACAGTTTCTCCAAAAAGAGCAAAATCTAAGCTGATGTTCATTGGATTAGCTGACCACGGAAAATATGGATAAACATCAAGGAAAAAAAACGATTTGCTCCCTTTCAAGAATTTCAGCAATGGTGCCATCAAAGTATCCGATATGTCAGAACGGAACATACCACTTGATGGTGGGAAAGTCGATTGCAGCACGTCCATTGCTAGAGGGGTACTGATCTTGATATTTTTAATATCATGAGCACTCAGAGAATTCTTAATTCTACGCATTGCAGGCACAAGGTTATGCCAAATTGTCTGATCTGGATCCGAATTGTAGCTGAGGACTTCATTGCCAACTAAAACGAATCGGATCATGGTATCCGGGTAGTAAGCCAGGACATTGTTTTGAACCCATTGTTCTGCTGCTGTTTGGCTTGAAGCAACTCGGATTATATCATCGTTAGGAACCATAATCGCCACTTGGATCTTGGTGCCTGAGAGGAGTTTCAATATTTCAGGGTCCGAATCATAGAGCTTTATACGGCCAGCATTCATGGATTTTATGATCTCAATGGATTGATATGGAGATGGCAAATTGTCCCCTTTTCGACCATAGTTTATTCCAATCTTGCTCGAGATTTCTGCCCCTGTTAAGCATAAAAGAAATCAATGTCCATAAAAACTGTTGATATTAACATAAAAATTGAATATTTAGTATGAAAAATTAACTTACAGGAAACAACAAGAAGAGAAGAAAAAAGGAGAGGAAGAAGAGCCATTACTGGTCAGCAGCTTTTTAAACTGTAATGAAATGGTTGGTTTTGTCCTCAAAGCATTCTCTGCTTTTAATGAGAAGAGAGCCAAAGCCCAACAAGAACATGGATGAATCAAGCAAAAAGTAGCTAGATTGTTCCATACATACAAGAAGATTTGTTTAGTTCAATGATTTTTGAGAGTTGCCTCCAAAACAAAGTGAAGTTCTTTTGTTTATTCCAAGCAAGAAAAGAGGCATGAAACACGGATATATATTACCTATGATAAAGTAATAATGGTTTATTAATTTGTAAAGAAAAAGCTAAAGATTATGATGTAAGAGCATATACGGGGGGTCTTCTTGTCTCCTGGATTGAATACATGTTTTCTTTACCATTTCAAGCTAGGTAGTTAGAGAAGTGAGAAAATAGATAAGTCTAATGCAGTAATGCTATGATCATTCAAGGTTTTTAATGTTACGATTTTTGAACTATAATAAAATATTTATTGTGATATTTAATTTTTAAAAATTTTTAATATATTATTTGAATTATGAATTTGTTAATTAATATAACACTTATTTTTAATGTAATTAGCTTTAAATGATAACATATTATAGACAAACCGTCCTCTAAGTACCATATTAATTAACACATTTATAGTTTATGTACTACATAAAAATTTTTAAAATTCAGATATAACATTAAATATTATATTATAGGTCAGGGATCATTCGTAATATTAACCTAACTTTTAATTTATGCCAAGTTTATTGTGTAGCATTGTTAAAGTGACGTTATTCATATCTGTTAAGTATTTGATTTCACGTAATCTTTTATTTAAATTGGATCTCTCAATTTATTGTCAATTGATTTTAAACTGAATATTTAACATAATATCAAAATGTTACTCTTCTCTGTTATCTTTTATAAGTTTATCATATTATAAGTTTTTACTTTCATTTATATATGATAAAAATTTATTAAAATAATATTGATAAATATTAAATTTTTTACTCGAGAAAAAGGGATGATGGAAAAACAAAATCCATGTTGCATTTTAAAATTCCCAAAAATTCAATAAAGTTAATGGCACAACCATAAACTTTGGAATTTATTCTTAGCTTTCAAATCGAGTCTTCTACCTCATTACTCTAACTATAAGAACACCCACTACTTTAATGCAACGGTCACTGCATATATCAATTTATTCAAGCTTATAATGACAAAAGTTGAATCTAAGAGGGCAAAACTATATGTGGTCAAGATCTAAATTAAGAATTGCAACATAAAAATGTGTAACTAAAACGAACAATTAAGAGAATGGAATTATAAGTTTTATATTTCGAAATAAGTGTATGTTTCTACTATATTATTGTAAACCAATATCAATAGGATATCTCAAATATTTTTAATTTAAAATTTTAATATAAAAAAAAAAACTTGTACTTAAAGTAAAAATAAGTTAAAATTGAAAAATAATTGATTACCTCTCATTATATAACTCAAACCAACAAGATTTCATAATTAAAAAAGCATATATTTTGAATTAAAGAGAAGCAAATAGAAAAAACAAAAATTACAAATAATTTAAGTTCCATTTGATAGATACTTTTACGTTTTGCTTTTTCATTTTTTACAAAAAAAATTAACTAAAAAATAAATTAAAAAATTAAAAATGAATAAAAACAAAAAACAAAAATACAAAAACGATTATCAAAAGAAGCCTTGATAACCTTTTCTTCCTATACTCTTCTTCAGTTATTCCTCTTTATGCTTGGACTTAACCTAAAAAATTAAATTAAGACAAAAAATAATGCTTTCGACTGGTTTAACGTGTTTGAGTTTGCAACTTGGGCCTTGAACCGTTGACTTTGTTTGGTTTACATGCCTTTGATCTTCTTTGGGCTTTCCTCCGGTTTTGGCTGCCCAGATCCTGCAATCGACCCAAGCTTTTTTCAACCACTTTAAAACTACTTGTATTTGGTAACACTTTTTGTTCATTTATAACACAAATAGTTCAGTAATTTTTTCTACATTTGAAGTGCAAGGTAGGTGCAAAGCCATGTTTGATATGATAATTTGAATCTAAAAAAATAAATTCAAATATAAAATAAAATTAATTTCAAAATCAAAATCCTTAATTTGCTTTGTTTATTCCATTTTAAAACATTATATACCGGAGTCCATAGCATTTTTGTTTTAAATGATTTTCGATTTAGTTTTGCAAAAAAAAAAAAAGAAAATCACATATTGTTGTGTCCGTAGCACCTAATGTCTGGAAAATGTATATCTATATTTCTCCTAGGCAAAGTATGAATCCAAGAAAGAGTTCAAAAGTGAGCTCACAACCTCAACACAGATCCCAAAAAACACCAATTGTTCGTCCTTTCTCCCCACAGTCCCACGTCTCTTTTAAAATCTATAGTTATGGGGTTTAGATGTGTAGTGTTTTGAAGGGACTTAGAGAATCTAAACCATCCAAAATGTTGAGCATAGAGAGGAAAAAGAGGATGTGAAAAACGGCTGTAATCACTTCACTGGATTGTGAGATGAGAGGTGAAAAAAAAAATTTTAAAATCGATTTGAAATTATAATATTTCATTTGGATCGATTTTTTTATTTGATTTAAATTAAATTTAAATATTAAATATATATTAAATTTGAATCGAATTTCGGATCAAAAAAAAAAAAAAATTGAATCAAATTATAATTTTTAAAATTTTTTATTTATATTTTAAATTTTTATAAAATAAAATTAACAATTTCATATCAAAATTTACTTAAACATATTAAAATTTTATATTAAAATAATATATAAAAATTAAAAATCAATAAATTGAATTAAATTGATAAATTTAATTCGATTCAATTTGAATCGGATCGAATGAAAATTCGATTCGAATTTAAATCGTATTTTCACTTTTTATAATATTATGTAATATTTAAAAAAACTGAATCGAATTGAATCAAATTCGATCCACATGGAACCATTATCACCTCTAAGTGAGGCAATCTGGAGGGAGGAAACAGATATTGTGAGAGAAAGGAAAAGGAACGTTTCTTTTTGTTTTTTCAATTTCATAGTTGATTAATTTTTTTTGGTTATTAATGCCTAAGAAATTAAAAGTTAGATTGTCAAGGGATTTTTTAAAAAAATAAAAAAACTAAATTTAATGTGAGTAAAAAATTAAATAATAAGATATGTAAGTAAAATCAATGATTATATCATTAAATCAATGGTTATATTAATATTTTTAGTTATAAAAAATTAATAGTATTAATAATTAGATTAAAATTATTAAATTAAAATAATATAAAAATTATATTTACATGAATTATAATAAAAAACTAAATCTCAAATGTTGTTAGGGTAAAAAGCTACTAACATAGTTTTACATATTTTATTTTTATGACTTTCGAAAGAAAAGGCTAAAGAATTTGAAGATGATTGCAACTTATTTTTGCTATTGTTTTATTTGTAATTTGCATCATTATCATTTAAAAAAAAAAGACAATAAAGATAATAAGAAATTAATTAAGTTATTCTAAATTTCAATTTCTAACTATTAGTTGACCAACATTACGACAAATTGATATCAATTGAAGAGAGTGATTTGGCTTTGCCTACCCTTAAGATTAAAAACTATTTTTTTGCTTTTATTAAAAAAATGAATTGGACTTTTTAAGGCACCTATCATTATTCATTATACCAAAAGTTTAAGGTTACATTTGAATTGATGATGAGATTCAAAAAAAAAAAAAATTATTGTAATTGTGATTCGAAAAATTATTGTAGTTATGATTGAAAAAAATTAAAAATTAATAAAAAATTTATATTGATTTGATCTTGTTAAAATTGATATTTGAATTCAATTAACAATATGATGAATTTAATCATATCACATAAAAAATATAGTAAAATGCAAACGGATACTAAGTATGTCACAAGAACAATTAGATTTGAACTAAAATGTAAAATTCAATTCATAATGACTTATCATTTTATTTTATTTAAAAAAATTCTCTTTGATGTCCACTTGGGTTTCTAGCTTATGATATTTATTAATATATAATTTGGAGCATGATATTCTATTCTTTTTTTTTTCTTTATTTATCTTTTTTATTATTATTACAGGCCATTTAAAAAATTTTATTTTTCTTCTATCTGTTTTTTTTATTATTGCATACATTTTCAAATTTTGATAAAATATAAAGACCATTACGATCAAAATTAAAAAAAAAAAAAAAAAAACTGAACATCCGGCAAGATCAATTTATGCCACAAACCAATTGAAAAACGTTGGATCTCCCAACATCTGTGCAATGATTAGCGGTGGCAGTTGCCGACTTTGGTTTTGTTTTGTTTTTGTTTTTGCTTTTTTTTTTGGGCCAGTTGTTGCCAACTTCGGTTTTAGTCTTTTTTTTTTTTTTTTTTGTCTCCTTTCTTTTTCTTCTTTTACGGCCGTCCACTGTGTTTTTTTTTTTTTTTAATTGTTTTTTTGTTTCGTCCCTATGGATGTTTTGAACTACAAATTATTTAGTATTAAAAACCAACTTTTTAAAGATAATTGATAATTGTATAAAAGTTAAAAAAGAAGCATATATATGAAATACATTAAGTTTTATTGCGAAAGAATGATAGAATAGAATGAAAATGAAAATGAAAAACTGGATAATTTAATAATTAAAATTTATTGTTATTTTTTTATTTTGTAATTTAATCATTATATTTTGTAATTTCGAATGCAATTATTTTTATTATAATCTTATAATTATTCAATTATGATAAAAAAAATTATATAGAGGTCAATAACATATAAGGGTAAATTCCATCAAATATTTTGATAAAATCCTATATAATTTTAAATTTTGATTGATTAATTATGCTGTAATATTATAAATAATATATTTTAACACTGAAAATAGCGAAACAAATTAACATTTAGCTCAAGTAGAAGGACTAAATTTGAATTTAAATCCACTCATTATTGTAATTCTAATTTCCAGTAGTACTAGTAAAATATTGATAATAAAGGAATTATTTTCGGTCTCCTAATTAAGGCAAACCAATTTCCTTAACAATGACCTTGAAATCTCAATTCAAAATCCAACTCACACAGCCTAATTCATGAACAAATTTACTATTAGAGATTGACTGCCTTACTGTTTGATTCAATTGTCATTGAAAAACCCATAAATTTAGCCAAAAGTACATACAATTAATCTTCAATTTTTATCTATTTACCTCGTCTCTGAAAGAGATATTACATATTTAAATTTTTTTAAAATTGTAATTTTAAAAAAGTTTGACCAAAATATATACCATTTGAGCTAGTATTAAGTTGAGAAGTGGGTGTAAACTTATTCTTAAATTTAATCTAAAAAACTAACTGCATTTTTTTTTCAATAAAATAAGTCTCCAGGTAACCACTATTTATGCTACTAGTTCATGCAAAATTGTAAAGGCAGGTAATTTACCACTTGAGTTTGTTAAAAATCAAGTTTGATACTGTTTGACAAATCTCACTTATCTAATAATAACTTCAAATTAGTTGTTAACAAATACCAAAAAAAAAAAAAAGTTGTTAACAATAATTGCCTTCAATATTCAATAGTTGTTGCTAATGAGACTTTTTTTTTCTACTGGTAAATTGACAAATTGATAATCTCAATTAAATGTTGAACAAAATAAAAGTTATTTTATGATGAATTATAAATTAATTTTATTTTAAATCAGATCCTTTTTAATGATGATTTTTAAAATTTTTTTAATAAATAACAGCCATTCTTTTCACTTCAAGATTTTATCTATTTGTTTGTGTAAAAAAATCTATTTATTTGTTATAAATTAAAATTTTATAATTATAATTAATCCACATCAAGATTTTAATTTGAAGTCTGCAAAATTCAACAAAAAAGGCTGTTAGGTCTGGGGTTGTAAAACAATGGTGTTGCTGTCAAGACAAATAAACCTAAATCCAATTTGTTTAATCAATAATCATTTTTAAGCTGTCAATTCAAAGGAATCCTGAATGAATTTCAACCACCACGTTGTGCTTTTGTGGGCAGTGAGTTGTGACAGCTTGAGACAGATTATCTCAGATTCATTTCAATTCATCAACATATCAACCTATATTCTTTCGATTTACATCAATATTTTAATATACATATATATATATATATATATAAACATAAGTTACATTAATAGTAGTCGAATTTTGTATAGCATTTATTTTGATAATTAAATCATAATAAGTTTTGTTTTAATCATTAATATTTGAATAAATATTTTTTTCATTCGACTGTTAAGTATAACAAAATGTTGACAACACACATCACAAATTAGATTTTTGTTTTGAATACTAACGTCTGTTGGTTCGAGTGATAAATGATTCAATTTTTTTAAATAAAATTATAATTTTAAATTTTATAAATAAAAAAATAGATATTAAAAAAATTTATTTTCTTATGAGGTTCAATCCAATTTCGATTCTAAAATAATTAAAATCTAAAATAATTACCGAATATTAAAAGCTCTCAAATAAAAAAAAAAAAGTTCTCGTTTTGAATTTATTTGGGGTTTGGCTAACAATGAACATAAAGGAGCTTCATTTTTCAGGGTATACTATACTTTTGTATGGTCCGAATTGGACATTGTTACGAACTTGCTTTTGTTTTTTCTTTGTGTCCACTTGAATTCCATGCTTTTGCTCATATTTTTGCTGACTTTTTCGTTGAATGGACAGGTTTTAATGTGTAGTGACGACTTTTGTCTCTGTTTTTATAGGTTGTGCACAAACCAAACATGATTGAATGATTGAAAACAATAATTATACATTACAATGGAAAAGGTTGAAAGAATATGATACAAATTTTCTCTCCCTTTCCTCCAAAACTCTACTTCCTGTGTAAAAGCTCCACCAACAAAACAAATCGATTGGTTAGCTTTTGAAGAATTTAATAAGAAACAACAACAGCTCTATTGGCTCAGGCTTAGCACAAATAAAGATAAGAGAACAAACTGAATTAATAAACATAATATGACCATAATACTCTTCGCAATCAACTGGACTGTAGCCCAACCGGCTTTTTTTTTTTTTTTTGCCCTCTTTGCAGCTTTTACAGTCATACCTCTTCGAAATTATGTCGGTTTTTCCATTTCCATCACCGGCAATCGGTTGAGCTGAACGAGTTTGGAAATCCCGAGGGTATTGCGGGAATGCTTGACTGGGTTTCGGAATATGATATATCACCATATATTGTTGACATACCTTCATCTGCTTGCCATCTTTGTAGAGCCTGAGGAAGGCTCATGTGAAGGTCAATGCCTGAGTTTTCATCATCGTCTTGGCTGGTAGGTTTCCACTGCTCAACAAGAGGGCCTAGCACATTGACTGCATGCCCCATATCGGGTCGCTGATACGGTTCACGAGCTGTGCAGTGACCTGCCAGCTCAGCTACCTTGAAGATGCTCGCCATTGTCTCATCATCAAGGTTGATTGTATCATCAACCACTTTTGGAACGTTGTCTTTGTTGATTAGGACCCTGCGGAACCATGTGACTAAATGTGACTTCTCATCAGGTAAGGTTTCATCGAGAGCTTTTCTGCCAGTGATTATCTCCATCAAGACCACTCCAAATGCATAGACATCCACCTTAGTAGTCACCCTTCCAGTTGCTGTTACGATTTTAAAAAATAAAAGAAAAAGTATATCTGTTTAGAAATTTTAACATTTAACCAAACAACTAAAGCGCGTATAGTCCATATCTTCCTTGTGAATCGAACTATTTATCAGTTAGAGACTTACTTCTAGCTGTTTCAGTTAGCAAAATTCATCAAATTATAGAATAAAGGTTCACATTCAACGTCAGTTGTCATTTAAGTATATGACAATGTTTTGAAGAGAACAGCCAGGCAAAAGGAGAAGACAAGAAAATATTAATTGGTTTTTCCAAAAAGAGTGGTTAAGTAAGCCCAAAGAACATAATTTAACAAACAATAAAAGCCTTGCCATACCATGCCTACTAAAAGATGCCTTTTATATATATATATATATATATATATATACATACATACATACATACAAAGGAGGTCGTAGCCATGATTTTAATCTTTCTCACAAGAATACCGAATATTCTATGGGGCCTCGTAACTTATAAACCATGTTGTGGAAAACCTCGTCCCCATGTTTCCTACCTCTTTCACTCCCTATAGAACAAACTAGGATGTGAAGAAATTCAAGTCTAAAAAATGGCTTGTTAGCACCATTTTGATATGTCTAAAGCAGATAATACCATGAAGAGCCCCAACCCCAATCACATTAACTACTAATATCCTAGGTGATTCTATACTTACATTGAGACATTAAAGATGCAACTAAATTACTTTGAAAGGATTGATTCGCCTAAAACAAATTTTCATAGAACATATAGAATTTTTATAGAACATATAGAGCTAAGCAGCTCATATAAAATATTAAAAAGTTTCAGGACGAGGATCCGCCTACCAGCATATTCAGGAGCAAGATATCCAAATGTTCCTGCCAATCTTGTCTCTACAGAGTACTTTCCCTCAGGTGCATTCTTAACAAGGCCAAAATCTGAAACCTTTGCCCTCATGTCATCCCCGAGAAGTATGTTGGAAGGCTTCAAGTCCCGGTGAATGAAACTTTGTTGTGCAAGAGAGTGCAAATACTCCACCCCCCGTGCAACATCAAGTGCAATGGTGACTCTCTGCTTCCATGTGAGTGAAGCATAGCCATTTTCCGGCCATTCAAAGAGATGCTGACCAAGGGTACCTTGAGGCATATACTCATAAACCAAGAGCCTCTCATTACCATTAATACAGTAACCCAAAAGTGCAACCAGATGCCTATGCCGAACCTTTGTAAGCACTGCAATCTCAGCCTGAAACTCATTCATTCCTTTAGTACCTGTTGCCACACACTCCATCCTCTTGACAGCAATCTGTGTGCCATCATGGAATTCCCCTTTATACACAACCCCGAAACCCCCTTTCCCTAAAATATTAGCCTCACTGAAATTATCAGTCACCTGTCGTAGGACTTGCATTGAGATCACAACATTTCCACCCTCAATGAAATGGCTGTCACTATGATCACCACTGCTGTGGCTTTGCATTTCACCAGGAACTCCCCCATGCCCATTCATCCCACCACCCATCGCCCCATTCTTAACTACTCCCTTCTCAGTATCACTACCCTCCATCTTACCAAATTTCCCATACTTCTTGTTCATAATATACTTATAAGAAACAAAGCAGACAACAGCAACGAAAATTAATACACCAACAACAATACCTATAATCAGAGCAATCGAATTCTTATCATTGCCACCATTTTTTGAGTTATCAACTGAACCTCCATCTGATGCACCAGAACCTGAAGTTCCTCCATCACCAGAACCACCAGATTTTCCTAGTAAACTATTCCCCGAGTAAGCAAATTTTACTGAACTCGAAAATGTCGGGATGTTTCCACTAAGATTGTTATTAGACACATCAAGAAGCTGCAAACTACTCAACTTAGTCAGACCATCAGGAATCGGACCTGTTAATTTATTATCATTCAGGTTCAAATTCTTCAATGACGTGAGGTTCCCAAAGGCCGGAGAAATCGTCCCAGCCAAATTTTTCTTTGCAAGATTCACCGTAATCACATTCCTTTGTGCATCACAAGCAACAGAAGGCAATTTACAAGCATCATTTCCAGCCCAATTATCAGAAAGGAAAACAGGGTACCCAAAACCTGCCGCAATCTCAAGCAATATAGCAACTTGAGGATCACAAGGATCCCCATTATCCGTACAGAAATGATTGATTCCATTAACAGTAACTTTCTCAACTGAGCTAGGAAACTTTGGTGAAGGACCCTGCAATTTATTATTAGACAAGGAAACATTCTTCAAATTCGGAAGATTGATTAAAGATTTCGGAACAGGCCCTGTCAACTGGTTGTCTCTTAGCTGCAGATCGAACAGACCAATACATTTAGACAAATCTGGGATCGGACCCGTAAACATATTTTTTTGAAGCCAAACCTGAGACAACTGTGTCATGTTGGACAAAACTTCTAGAGTACCTGTGAACCCACCATTCTGATTGTTGATCCAAAGATTTTGAATCATAGAACCAGCAAGAGAAGCCGGCAATATACCGCTCAAATTGTTGTAAGACAACCTAATACTTTGTAAACTGTTCATAGAATCGAAGATATCAGGCAAGGTACCGAACAAGCTGGTGTTGTCTAGTTGAACTTCGACAAGGCCTGTAGATTGGGCTAAATCTGGGAAAGTCCATGGACTTAGGTTCATATTATCACTCATACTCAAAGTTTGCAGATTGGTCAATCCTGAGAACGCGTCTGGAGAGACTGAGGTGAACGCGTTGCCGTCAAGGTAAATGATTTGTAAGCTGGAGAGTTTGGCGAAAGATGGGATGGTCCCAGATAAAGAGTTGCGCTGAAGAGACACACTACGGAGTTCGGTTAACGAGGAGATATCGGGAGAAACAGTTCCAGACAAGGATTTGGAAGACAGGTTGATGGAAGTAACACGGTTGGATGCATCACAATTTAGGCCTGGCCAGTGGCAATAGTTGTCTGAAGAGGTGGAAGACCAGCCGCTGGGAGCTGGATGGAAAGATGAAGCTATTTTTAGAATCGTTGCGCCATCGTCGGCGGCGCCAAGAACGGCGGACAGATGGAGGAACAAGAGGACGAGGCGGTGGTTGGGCATTTTGGTTGGTTTTATGACAACCAGAAGAATTTGATTACGCCACAACAAAGGTGTGATGGGTTGGTTGTTTGAATAAAGTTAGCTGTTTTTTTATTTATTTATTGTTAGAGATGAAGAAAGAATGGAAATGGCGAAGTAAAGACAGAACACAGTGTTTAGGATAAGAGAAGCGTTGGGGGAGAGACAACAGAGCAATGACGAGGAATTTTATTAGTTGTATTTGTATTTATTCAATTACCTTTTTTTTCTTTTTTCTTTTGTTTTTTTCTAATTAATTTATTTTTTAAAACTTTAAATACAAAATCTGAAAATACCTTCAACATCTTATAAAATAGTTAAGCTTGAAAATTTTGCAAGTAAAAGATTACTACTTAACTCATTAAGTTATTACTCTTGTAATAATAATTGAATTAAAATTTGAGAATGCATCAATGTTTTTTTTTTGGAAGAAAAATTTGAAAATAAATAGACTGTTCAATCCTCCAAATTATGATAAGATGTATTATATTTGACAGCTTAAAATAAGTAATTATAAGTCAAAATGCAACAATTTTTATTAAATTAATATAAAAACTCCACCTATTACTATACAAAATGCCAATTGAAATTCCTTAATAAATTGTACTCCTAAATAATAGAATGAAATAACATAACTATTATAATTTATACCGTTCTCCAATCAGTTTCATTAATTAATTTTGTCCAAGTATTGTTATTTATTAACAAAAGGCATCATAATTAACTAATATATATAAATATATATATTCTTTTAAATAATTGGTAATCTACAACTTTAAGAAATCCCTAGAAAACTTTCACAATAAATAAAAAAATAAAATTATTTTTCACTTTTAAATTCTCAACAAAATTAATCTTATTCCCAAAAACAATTTTTATTTAATTTAATATAACTACATTGTAAAAGAAAAAAAAATACTATACTAATATTAAATTGAGTATACTATACTAATATTAATTTTAAGAGACGATATTTAAAAAAATTAAAATTTTAGTAATCATAATCTTTTTTCTTATCATAACATGATGATATCTTTTATATATATATAAAAAAAACTTATGTTTTGTAAAATATTTCAAAAAAAATTCTAAATGCAACAAAATCAATATAAAAAAAAATACATTTTTAACATTACTTAGAGAAAAAGTACAAAATAAATTTAAATAGTTAATTACGCTTTTGATACTTAAATTTGATATTTAAAAAATAAAATATGTAATTTATATCTTAAATTTTTATAAAATATATAATTTGCACTATGAACTTTTAAATTATATATTATGATAATTCAAATTCTAATATCTCTAATCATATCAATATATATATATATATAATGTATGATAAATATTATCTAATTATATGTTCAGCATACGTATTACAAACATTTTTATTTAATAAAAATATCTAAAACTATATATTTTTAAATAAATCATAACATTTTTAGGATCCATCAATTATTATTTGTCATGTGCCATTCACATTATATTTTTACAAAATATTTAATATTTTTATTTAATAAATAATATTTGTATAAAAATTATATTAATTAGATATTATATAGATAAGTTAAATTAATAGTATTAAAATTTGAACTAACAATATATTATTTAAAAAATTCTAAGTACAAATTTATATTTTATTTTTTAAAATACTAATTTATATATTTTTTAAAATTTCAAATATTAAAAATATAAGTAACTCAATTTAAAAATACCCTATAATTTATATTTTCGGTGGTGGATAAGCGGCGCGGTCCCACAAAAGGACAGCTATTGCTTAGCTGATACTATAAAATAAAATCCAGTCAAAACCAAAGAAATAAAACAAAAACTACACGACTAGCCGTCTTTGGAACTTTTCTGTACTCCCGTCTGAGTGCGTTACCACGATTTTTCCTTACATTTGAGTAACCGCGTTTTTGTTTTTTCTTTTTAGCTGTCAATTTGTTAGCCTTTATTATTATTATTATTATTATTTTTTCAGTTAGTTGGTAAATTACTTGTTTGACTCTTGACTATTGGAATTGAGCTGGCTCTTCAAGAATTTCATCACCTCAATTGATCACTTCCAATTGAAGAAGTCAATCTCTTGCTTCCTTACAAAACCGAAAAACATAATTTAGATGAAAATCAACCTTATCGTATAAACATAGCTTTTCTTTATAATATAATAGAAAACAGTGACGGATCTTAATATTTATTTTTGAGGAAGGCCAATTATATTTATTTTATATTTTTTGTAAAATTTTTATCACATGTATATGGTAATAAAAAATAATTAAGCATATAAAATATTATAATAAAATCAAGCATATAAATTGTACAAAAAAAAACATTTCTATGATAGCATTAAAAATGTTAAGAATAACACTTTCAAATTAATGGTAAAATTACTGAGTATATATATAGTCTTTCAATGACTTATAAAATTTTTCTTTATTTTTTTATAATTTAAAATTGAAATAAAAGAGTATAAATGAATCAATAAATAATATTTTTATCAAAAAACAAGAAAAATAAATAAAATTTTAAAAGAATGAAGTTGAAATTTTAAGATTAGAAGTTTTGATTTATTTCACCTTTTTTAAAAAAGGTTAGAATCTGATTTAAAAAAAAAAAAGATTTTAGGATAGTATTGGATTGAGATCTAAAGCACAATTAAAAGAAAGAAATTAAAATCTAATGAAACTAAGAATTGAAGCAAGCTAGAAAAAAAAAATAGAAAACACTTAATTATTACTTGTTCAAAATTAGAGTCTTATTGAGAAAATTAAAAAATTAATTTGATTTTTGTTAAGTTCATATAATTGTGATTTAAAACTTATGACAAATCTATTTATTTTAAAGATTTTAAAATAATTATTAATTAATTGATACAATAAATGGATAAATATTATATGATTTTAACTCCTCTTTAATGATAATAATACATAAAATTAAATTATAAAATCATAAAAATAATAATTTTAATTTGAAAAATCAATATATACACATACTAGAAACTTTAAAACTTTAGGAGATGTCAATGCATCCTCGAGCTCTAATAATATAACTCCTCTCAATATATGTGCTAGAGGTAAAATTTTGAGGGGTGTCAAGACCTCCACAGGCTTCAACAAGGAGCCACCTCTAATAAAGGGTATCTCAAGTTCTCTCGAATCTACTTTTTTTTCGGTAGCGAAGCTAGCATAACGATATTAGGGTATTTTAAATTTATATTTATTTTCGTATCTATACTTAATTAATATTTTATTTTTATTTTTATCATTTTTTTTATGAGTATTTAATAGGCATGAATAATTCTCATATCTATAACCTTTAACAAAAAATAAAAAACTAAAATTTTTTAAAACTTTTTTTTTATTTTTATCTTGTATATTTAGATAAAGTTTTATAAATATATATTAATATATATTTTTTCAATAAAAATATATTAATTTTAATTAATTTAAAATAATAATTTATATTATTTAATAAAAATCTATATATTAAATATATAAAAATTTATATGTAGGAAATGAGTATAAAACATGTGCTATATTATCTATCTTCATTCTTGTACCCAATAAAAATTTAAAATTATATCCATTTACATTCTTATACTCATAATGTGATAACCATCCCAATCATTATTTGGATAAAAATCGAATTCCCCATTAAATGAGGGTAAAATTGGCATCTCAAATTATGGATAACTATTAGTTAGGCTTTTTAACGTTATTTTTCTTTGCTCCAAAATATGGTCAAGCTTCAAAATCATGTCTTTTAAAGAACTTCCAAATATATGCAAAACAATTTAGTAACGGAATCTATGGCACAATAGTTCGTGCATAAATCTCTGTTTAAATAATAGATTTTGACTTTCTTTTCTTTCAATTAAAAAGAAAAAAAGACCCTCATCAAACAACGTTGACTTTTTGTATTTTACTATTTTAATTCTAAAATAAATTTATTTTCACAAATGATTTTAATTATTTCATGCAAGTGTCAGTTATCGTGTCAATGAACGGATAGATCTACATAACAAAAAAAAATTTGTATGCTAAAACCGTTACTTTTTTTTTTTTTTTTTTCATTTGTTAAAAGCGTATATAATTAAAGTTTTTGACATATATAACGGATTTTGATAAGATGTTATGGTTGGAAATAAATAAGTGAAATGAAGGTTTTGATAATTTAATTATAAAAAGTTATAATTTGATCACTAATGCTTATGAAATAATTTTTTATCACCTAGCCGTTAGAGACTAATGATATGCTGAAGTGATATTACCATATCATATGACATATCACATAATATTATTGACGTGATATTATAAATTTAAAAAATTAAAATTAAAAAAATTATACTTTTGATCACTTAACATTTGAGAGTTATTATTTTTGATCATCCAACTTTTAAAATTTTCACAATTGGTTATCAACGTTTGATTTCTATTGTCAACACGGCTCTATAGCGATTTGATAACTAACGCTATAAAATTTACCATGATAAATTATTTTAGTATTTCTCTTATCTTTATTGAAAGATTTTGGAATAATACTCAAATAAGTTAATTTAACTTTATAAAAAAATAGAAATAAGTATTCAATATTTTTATTGTGTTGAATTTTAAAATTACAAATTTTTATTTTGTTGTAATTATATCCTCTAAATCTGAAAATTGGATGAATAAATCCTATTGTCAAAATTATTAAAGTAGCAATACTTTATTTATTTGTGATTTAGCTTTTCCAAATAAATTCAAATGAGTATTTTTTTAATAAATTGTTCGAATTATTTTCAAAATAGTGAAAAATAGTTGAGAAATCAATGTTGCCAAAAGCTTAGATTTAGTTTTGGTATAATTTAAAATACAAAAGAAATGATTTAGAGGATTTTTAGGAAGTGTAATTCAAATACTCTATCATAGGCAATTGAATGCTTAATGTTAAAAGCATTCTATTATGAAAATACACTAAGGAAGTCGACTACCTTTGTAAAGAAGTTTACTATCTTGAGTTGATTTGCATTATGTTATAGAAATTAACTAGATTATAACTCGTGTGTTGCACAAAATAATTTTATTTATTTAATATGAATATATATATATATATTAGTTTTTTTAAAATTATATTAAAAATTTAAAATTTATAACATATATAAAATTTATATATATTAACTTGTCATTAAAAAATAAATTTTTTAAAA